GGGACAGAAAGGGGTGAAGAACCAGTTTTGAGATTATGCAAACTACGCCGTCTCCAGTGAATCCAGTCCTTGGTGTCTTGCTGAATCAAAGTGCACTTACAGAAGCTGAATCCATCAGCAGGGGTTTGGGGGCAGGTCGGATTACTCACAGTTGTTAAGGATCACCTCTGACTGGTCTGTGTTGCTGCACACCAGACTCTGGGGAGATGAAGTAGGGAGAGTGAGACCTGTCCCATGCTGATGTTATGTTTATTTGGATTATAGGGGTAGTTGTGTTACTGTATTAACTGTGGAGCTCAAAGTACTCTGATGGACATGTTTTGAGAAGAAAGATTTTGTGATTTCAGCGGAGCAAAAAAAAATATTTAAGACTCACATGTAATTAAAGTGAAATTGTTCATGTATCTGCAGGATTCCTGTGTGAGTAAGAGTTGTAAGGATCCTCTGTGATACTGCTTGAGACATTTAATCAAGCTGCTGCTCTGTGTAGCCCAAGAAGGGATCTGAAGAAAATTGCTCTATGTCTGAATCTTCACAGTTCAGATGGTGCCAGGTGTCATTTTATTTTTTAGAAGAAAACACTTCAGCCTTGTAATTTTTTGTTCATGATTAAGTAAAAACAAAGTGCTTTTTAATATCTGTTTTGTAGATATTGAGATTCTCCCCCCAACACCTTCCATTCCTCCCTCCCCGTTCTCCACCTTCCCCATTTTCCCCCTTACTACCATAGTAGTCTAACAGCATAGCCCTTCGGCAGCAGTCACAAGTGCAGCATTCTGCTATTTCAGTGCATCACGGCATTGTAGGCACAGGCAGTAGTAGGAAATCTAGTGTCCAGTTGCCAAGGTATATTTACTTAACAGTTTCATTGGGAATCCTCCTTTTAAAACAAAGTGCTAAAAGCTTACTAACATCACATAGACTTGAATTCTAAAATGCATTTTAAGCTGATATCTTTCCTCATGAGCTTATTTAAGTTCATTTATTTTTAAATCACAGGTTCTAAATTAGTTCCGTTTTGGAGCTGGCTACAGATGGGCAAGGACCTACTTTTTATACGACTTCGATACCTGACTGGTGCCTGGAGACTTGAGGAAACCAAGAAAAGGAATTAAGTTGTTAGTAGTCTTTGATTGTATTCTTATGCATCAATGTCACATTTCACTTGAAATTAAACTTTTAAATAAAGCTGGAATAACGTCTATGTTCATTATCCGCCTTCTGATAATCTTAATTATCATAAGAAAAATATTTTTATTTGGGGCCAGAAATTCATAGCAAAAGCCAGATTTCCTTTTGCATTAGCAGTTTTACTTATTTGTGTTAATTATGTATAAATCTGGAAAATATGTTTATACCAGAGACAGAAGCAGTCAATTTTCAAGTGTCTGCATACTCATGACTTTAAATGTAATCCACAACTCCGGGTTAAGGGGCTGGTGCTCCAGCATGGTGAGTTAGGCTTCTGTATGTGGCTCCAGGATCCTGTCTGGGTGCCAGTTCAGTGCTGGCTGCTCTCCTTCTGATCTTGCTCCTTACTTGTGACCTGTGGAAGCAGCAGAGGATGGCTCAAAGCCTTGCATCCCTGCACCCACATGGGAGAACAGGAAGGTGCTCCTGACTCCTGGCTTTGGATCAGTTCAGCCTTGGCTATTGCAACCATTTGCAGAGTGAACCATTGGCTAGATCTCTCTGTCTCTCCTGTCTACAACTCTACCTTTCAAATAAAAACATTTTTTTAAAAAAATTACAGGTTTGAATATATACAAAATTATCTGTATCAAAGAAATTCATTTATCAAACTATGAAACTCTAGGAAGTTTGTATGTTAAAAGCAAGAACAAGGCTGAGTTGCCAAATACCAGTTTCTGGGTTCAGCATTGTGACAGAGTGAGTAAAGCCACTGCCTGCACTGCCACCATCTCACAAGGGCACTGCTTCTAGTCCTGCCTGTGCCATCTTGGTCCAGCACCTTGCTTACTGCCTGGGAAAAGAAGCAGAAGATGGCCCAAGGACTTGGCCCCTTGCCACCCACTTAGGAGATCCTGATGAGGCTGCTGTCTCCTCGCTTCACCCTGGAACAGAGTGAACCAGCGGATGGAAGATCTGTCTGTACCTCACCAAATGCCCACAATAGCCGGAACTGCCACACAAAAAGCAGGAGCCAGGAACTCGGTCTGGGTTCCCAAGTGGATGGCAGGACCTAGCCGTCCAACCCAGCCCCACTGCCTCACAGAGTGGGCATGAGCAGAAGGCTGCTGGAGTCTAGAGGGAGAGACTGGAATTCAAACCCAGGCATGCCAACATGGGATGCCAGCAACCCAAACAGCTTGTCCTTTTCGAAATAAAACAAGTATTAGAACATTTGGCCGTTTCAACTGATTCTCATGACATACCAGAATTAAGCCAATCATGTTTTCAAAAACGATTATTTTTCTGTAACTCTAGGCTGATAATGCAAAAAGAAAATTGACTTGAGATTTTTAAATTTAGAGCCCTGTTTAATTAAGTTCCATATTTTTTTTTTAATTTTCTATAATACAGGTCTGCTCATCTTTTGGTTTTTAACAGCACATGATAGTAAAGTTTAGCTGCAACCACATCACATTCACTCTTCATTTTTTAAATGTTCATTTCATGAAAGATGTTTCTATCAGAAATAGGATTGCTTATAGGAAATTTTTTAAGAAAATTTAATTTTTAAAAAAGATTTATTTTTATTGGAAAGGCAGATTTACAGAAAGATCTTCCAGCTGCTGTTTCATTCCCCACGTGGCCGCAACGGTTGGAGCTGAGCCAATCTTAAGCCAAGAGCCTCCTCTAGGTCTCCCACACAGGTGCAGAGTCCCAAGGCTTTGACCATCCTTGACTGCTTTCCCAGGCCACAGTCAGGGAACTAGATGGGAAGCAAGGCCACTGGAATTAGAACTGGCGACCATATGGGATTGTAGTGCATTCAAGGCAAGGAATTTAGTTACTGAGCTGTCACACCAGGCCCAGAAAATAAATTCATTTTAAAATTTTTCCAGGCATCATTTTTCTCTCTAGGCAAGCAACTAGTGTTGTGTGTAGATAAAGTGTTGCATTTATGGTTTACTGTATCCTAAAAATAACTAAGCTAAAAGACTAGTTTTTTTCTACTCAAACTTTCCACCTCAAAAACTAAGAAAATGAAGTGTAAGGATCTGTTTTCTCTATGCTTGTAATATACATTTGTTTTCCTTTTATTTGAAAGGAAGGCAAATGAGAGAGATCCCCCTCAAATGCCTGCCAACAGCCAGGGCTGGCCAAGGCTGAAGCTGGGAGGCAGAAGCTCAATCCAGATTCTCACATGGGTGTCAGATGCCCAGGTACTTACCACCTGCTGCTTTCCACGGTGCATGTAGCAGAAAGCTGGAACTGGAAGTGGAGCATAAATTCAGTCCCAGGCACTGCAGTATGGAATACGGGCATCCCAAGCACTGTCTTAACTGCTGCATCCAATGCCCTCGCTCTGTTTTTAGTAAGTAAATATTGTACATGTTTATGCTGTACAGCATGATGTCTTGAAATGTGTGTATTGTGAAATAGCTAGATGAGTCCAGTCAACATGCATATTACCTCACAAGTTTAACATTTGTAATAACACTAAATCTACTCAGCAAATTCTAAAGTGTGTCATTATTATTATTTGTGGGCACCATGCTACACAAAAGGCTGTCAACCTTATTCCTTCTTCCCGAGATTTTATATTCCTGCCATTGTCGATAGAGACTTGACGAGCAAATGTAGGAGTCATTCATTGATAGAAACACATTTTAAAGGATGAAAGTGATTTTGCTGGTCAGTCTCAGTAACACTTTAATTATTTTAGAGATATTAGCATCTAAACAGTTCTAATACCTCTTTAATTTTTCCTACAGTTATTCTAATTGAAGAGTAATATGTGGGTGGAAGAGAGCCAATTTGGGGTTTTTTTTTTTTAAGATTGATTTCTTTTTATTGTAAAGGCAGATACACAGAGAGCAGTAGAGACAAAGATCTTCCATCCACTGATTCACTCCCCAAGTGGCCATCACGGATGGAACTGAGCTGATCCAAAACTGGGAGCTTCTTTCAGGTCTTCCACACAGGTCCCAAGGACCTGGGCCATCCTCTGCTGCTTTCCCAGGCCACAAACAGGGAGCTGAATGGGGAGTGGAGGAGCTGGGACATGAACTGGTACCCAGCATTTGCAAGGCAAGGATATAGCCACTGAGCCATTGCTCCAAGCCCAATGATCAGCTTTATTCCCATTTACCGACAGTGGCCTACAGAGGATGGCCAAAAGCAGCAGTTACTGGGCAAGAACTGGCATGCTACCGCTGGGTGGCACAGAGGCAGGGTCTCGCAGCTCTAATGGCTCTGCCTGTCCATTAATGAAAAAGGAGATTTTCCTAATGAATTGCAGTCAACGGTAAACACTCGATTTTAAACTAATGACTTTGTTTTCCATTATTAGACGTAAAGGCCAACTATAATCCCTTGAGACCCTAGGATGTTGCCTTTTATTTCAGAGAGTATCATACGGTTCCCAAATTACTTTTTAAAATGTCTGCTATCCAAAAAGTTGGGAATTCATTTAGTCCAATGAGGACTAGATAACCCAGAATTAGCTTTCCCAGTTCTTCAACATGTATGTGTGTGTGTATGTGTGTGTTTTAATACACATTTTATTTATTTATTTATTTATTTTAAAGATTTATTTATTTTATTACAAAGTCAGATATACAGAGAAGAGGAGAAACAGAGAGGAAGATCTTCCGTCCGATGATTCGCTCCCCAAGTGAGCGCAACAGCTGATGCTATGCCAGTACGAAGCCAGGATCCAGGAACTTCTTTCGGGTCTCCCACGCGGGTGCAGGGTCCCAAAGCTTTGGGCCTTCCTCGACTGCTTTCCCAGCCCACAAGCAGGGAGCTGGATGGGAAGTGGAGCTGCCGGGATTAGAAGTGGCACCCATATGGGATCCTGGCGCGTTCAAGGTGAGGACTTCAGCCGCTAGGCCACGCCACCAAGCCCTTAATACACATTTTAAAAAACCACTTTAACTGGACTAGAATTGTACCACATAAACCACTGAATAATTAAATTCCACACAATAAGAATACATCTTTTTTAAAAGATTTGTTTTGCAGTTTAGCATTACAAAGAGCGATCTTGCTCTTGGTTCATTCCCAAGACAGCTGCAACAGCCAGCCACGGCCAGGCTGGGCCCAGGAGTCAGGAGCTTCATCTGGATCTCCCATGTGGATGGCCAGGGCCTAAGCATCTGGACCATCTTCCACTGCATTTCCCAGGCCATTGGCAGGGAGCCGGACCAGAAGCAGAGCAACCAGGTCATAAAGAGCTGCCCATATGGGAAACTGGCATCACAGACTTTCTACTCACTTTACCACAAAACCAGCCCTGTAAATCTTTGTCTGATCTCTATTGTAGGAGTAAATTCTGTGGATGTTTTCTGTGCTTGTCCACTCCTTGAACATGCCTGTCTCTTCCTGATACGAACATAAATCTGAATCTCCTTCAACTCTATTCCCACCTCTCTAGTTTTGAAAAAATTAAAAAGGCCATTGCTTTCTTTATATACTTGCACGCTTGAGATTGCCAAAGCCTAGTATGAATCCAGACTACCTTGAAGAACCTTCATGCTATTTTCCATATGGCTGCCCCATTGTTTACATTCCTCCCACCGGTGCACAGTAGTTTCAATTATTGCACATCATTTTCAACACTTGTTACCTCTTTGTTGCATTGGTAATGGTCGCCCAACTGGTTGGGAGGCGATATCTCTTCTTGGAGTTGATTTTTCTTTCTTTCATGAGTAGTGGTGTTAAGGGCCAGCACAATACAGGCTGATCCTCCACCTGCAGTACCAAAATCCCATGCAGGTGCTAGTTCAAGGCTTGGCTGCTCTTTGCTAATGACCTGGGGCAGCAGTGGAAGATGGCCCTGAACCCACATGGAAGACCAGGAACAAGCTCCTGGCTCCTGGCTTTGGACTGGCCCAGCTCTGGCTGTTGTGGCCATTTGGGAATCATACCAGCAAACGGAAGATTTCTGTTTCTCTCTCTCTAACTCTTTCAGGTAAAAATAAATAAAACTTTCAAAAAGTCATTTCATATGATTATTAGCATTTGTTATGTCTTAGGAAAATATAGGGTGTGTGTGTGTGTGTGTGTGTGTGTAGAGGACATCTTACCCAAATCTTTACTCAGTTTTTAATCTAGTTATCTGTAAGGATATGAAGTGTCTAATAAGCTTTTACCATCTGGTGACACTGAGGTAGCCGTTGGAAACAAACAAGAGGAAAAAACCAGACACACTTCTCACTGTTTTCAGTGTTAATTAATTAAAGGACTTAAACATGAGTAAAATTATTCAGTATAAACCAACATGAAAGCATGGTGTTGGTTATGAAGGAGAGAGAGATGACCCACAAGGTTTCAAAGCAGATGTTCCAACCAAGCTGGAGAAGGCAAAAGACTTTCTAGGATGCGACTTGCCAATCCTGGTATATGGACAGGGGATTGGCACAGTGCTTAAAAATACTGTTTGGGATGCCCACATCCAGTGCTTGAGAGCATGTCCTGGTGAGACTTGCGCATCCTAGAAGGTACAAGTGATGACCCAAGTACTTGAGTCCCTGCCACTCACAAGGAGACCTTGATGGAGCTCCAGACTCTTGGCTTAAGGCTGGCCCACCTTGGCTATTCCAGGTGTTTAGGGGTGTGAACCAGTGAATGGAAGATTTCTGTATTTTGTCTCTTTCAAATAAATAAAGCGTAAATAGACACAATTCTGCTTTGCATCTTTTGAGACGCACATCCGAAAGTTGAACTGCTAGATCAAATGTGAGTTCTATTTTTAATTGTTTCAGGAATCTCCGTACTGGCGTCCATATGGCTGCCCCGTTTTATATTCCCACCCATAGGGCATGGAGGGTTCCCACTTCTTTACATGTTTTCCAACACTTACCTTCCATTCTCTTGATGGAGGCCATCCTACTGGATGTGTGGTAATATTTCATCGTGGTTTTAATTTACATTTCTGATGAGTCATCTTTTCATATGCCTATTGGCATCTGTGTATCTTCTTTGGAAAATTGTCTATTCAAGTCCTTTGCCTGTATTTTAGTCTGGTTATTTGTACTTTTCATTACTACTCTATGTATTCTGCATATTAACCCTTGAAGATACATGATTTATATATATTTTATCCCATTCTCTCTTTTTTAGGTATAAAGTATTTATTTTAAAATGCAGACGGGTAACAGTGGGGACCAAGGAGAGATCTTCCTTCCTCTGGCTCACTCCCCAAATAGTAGCACAGCAGGTCTGAGCCAGGACAAAGCCAGAACTAGACCTAGAACTCCACTCAGGTCTAGGGGGCCAATCACTTGAGGCTTAATCTGCAGCCTTCCTTCCCAGGCATATTAGCTGGATAGGAAGCAGAGTAGCCAGGGCTCAGACCTGTGCTCTAGTGTAAGATATCACCATCGTAAGCAGAGCTTACCCCACTGTTGCACAACACTAGCCCACTGTTTCTCGCTTTGACTACTGTCACCTCTGATGTGCAGTGTTTCGGACTAATGCTATCGAGCATGGCACAGTAGCCTAGTGGCATAAGTCTTCATCTTGCATGTGTCAGGATCCCATATGGGTACCGGTTCTTCTTCTGGATGCTCTATTTCCCATCCCTGCTTGTGCCCTAGGAAGGCAGATGGAAAATGACCCAAAGCCTTGGGATCCTGCATCTGCATAGGAGATCCAGAAAAAGCTCCTGGCCCCTGGCTTCTGATCAGCTCGGCACCAGCTGTTACAGCCATTTGGGGAATGGAACAACAGACAGAAGATCTTTCTGCCTCTCCTTCTCTCAGTAAATCTGCCTTTCCAATAAAAATAAATGTCTAAAAGTGTCCCATTTGTGTACCTTTGCTTTTTTTTTTTCTTTTTGCTCTCTGAGTGTTTTGGCATCGTAATCAGTACTCACTCTTGATTTCTCTGCTGCTGCTTTTAATTATTCAGTTTCTAGATAAATCACATCAATTAGTGTAGTGTAGATATGATTAAATGGTAAGAATTATTCAGCCTTCATTAACCACCAACTGAGATTTCACTTGGGCTTCATCAGTGTCCGCCCTCCCCCGCCCGCCCCCCCACCCCACTCCCCCGCCCCCCAGCATCTCATCAGCACCTTCTGTTCTCCACATCCCAGGGAGGTTTTGCTTTAATTTGAAAGAGAGAGAGAAGAATCTTCCATCTGCTGGTTCACTCCCCAAATACCTGCAACAGCTGGGCCAGTCAGGTCACACTCAAGCTCATGGAACGTAATTTGGATGTCTGTGTGTGGCAGGGACCTGAGTATTTGTCACCTGCATTTTCCCTGGGTGCACATTAGCAGGAAGCTGGAATGAGAAGCACTGTGATGCGGTTTGGAAGCTCTCACGTGGCATTTCACTGCTTTGCCAAATGCCAGCCCTGCAAAGCAAAAAACTTGGAGAGATTTTGCACACCCACATTCATTACAGCTGTGTTCACAACAGATACATAGTAAAAGCAAAGCGAGTATGTGAAAGGAATATATAAAGAAAATGTGACATGTGGAATATTATGCAGCCTTAAAGGAAATCTTGTTACATGAATGAACTTTAAGGATATTATAAGACAGACAATATACACTGTATGTATATTGTCATATACACTGTATGATTCCATATGGAATATCTAGTCAAAATCATAAAAACAGAAAATAAGTGATTCTTAAGGGCTGGGGGCAGAGAGGAGAGTAACTTAATAGACACAGAGTTTGAGGGTTTTTTTCCCCCAAGATAGAAAAGCTGTAGAGATTTATTGCTGCACAATGATGTTAATAAGATGATTGAATTATGTACTTGAGAAAAGATGGTAAATATATATGTCATAGCTTATAATGTGATTTCCAAATACTATATTTCTAATCAATAATTCACATGAATGGGTTTAATAAAATAACTACGATACATTTCAGTTAAGTCAGAATTAAGAAAACTCATTCAACTATTTACTTACTAAAGAGAGTAGGACAGAGCAGACATTTGGCCTTGGTAGTCATGATGTCCGCGTCACGTATCACAGTGTCCAGGATGGAGTCCTAGCTTCACTGTGACCTCAACACCCTGCCAATGCAGCAAGCGATGGCATCGCTGCTTGGTCCCTGCCAACTGGACCTGACACCTTTACTGAGCTCCAAGATCTTGACTTTGGCTGGCCCAGGCCTAACCGTTGCAGGCACATGGGGAGTGGATGAGATGATGAGAACATCCACTCTTTCCACTCCTGTTGTCAACCCTTTCTCAAAAATAGATAGATAGATAGATAGATAGATAGATAAAATGAAAAGCAATGATTCCCTAATGACCACTAAAGTTAGGAGAGCAATGAAATCAAGCAGTGGATATGGAAAGCAGAAGATGGCTTTGGGGAAATTAAGAAAGATGAATAGTAACAAATGACAAACCAAGGTTCTCAATTACTGTGAACTCTGGAGAAAGAGGAAAAGGCAAAGGTTTTATAGATTTGGAGAAGTGTTTCCATACCCCCAAAATAGGAAAGCTCTGATTTGGCTGAAGTTATGGCCTTAGTTACTGATTCTCTCTTGAAAGGGAGAGATGCCGAGCAGGGTAGAGAGTGGGCAAAACTCAGGGCTTGCAAATTGCTAGTCTGATTTGGTTCACAAATGTTTTCTTTGGCTTGTGCCTTGAAAATCAAAACAAAGTCTGGGTTGGTTGGCAGCATTTTTTAAATTGTAAGATTTTCCCTAAGATTGTGGATGTCTGTTATCTCTGGAAGCTGTGCCCCCTCTCACATGGCGACAGCGAGCTGGCTGGAGCTGCATGCCAGCAGCTCCTTAAAACGGAACATCTACACTCTAGTGCCCCTTCTTCCTTATTATGTGTACAGCCCCCTGTATTGCCATTCCATGTCTGGTCCCGGCCAGCCTTGATTTGCTGATTTATAGTCTTGATTTTACAGAAGAAGTTATTGAAGAACTTGTATCTTTCTGTAAAGCAAAAAGATAATCGAAAGCAATAGAATTGAGTCATCTTTTCACTTCTGAGACTATTTGGTCTTTTTAAAAGGCTTTACTACTTTTCCTTCCCATTCTCTTTGTGTGACTTCATTCTTCTTATTTCCCTGTATCCTTTTTAATTTGTATTTATCTTTGTTTTATTTGAAACACAAAGGGCTAGGAGAGAAAGAATCAATCTTGCAACTGCTGATTTGCTCCCCAAATGCCCACATCAGCCAGGCCTGGACCAGGATGAAGCCAGGAGCACTGAAATCAATCTGAGGTTGTCATGTGAATGGCAGTGACACGAGCACTTAAGCCAGCATTTGTAGCTTTCTGGGATAAGCATTAGCAGGAAGCTGGACGAGAGATGAGGGAGCTGGGTCTTGAACCAGCCTCTGACACGGGATTCTGGTGTTACAAGTGGGAACTTCCCCCCACCCCCCATGCCACGGGGGCTGTCCCAAGAGCTTGATCTTGTCTCATGTTGCTTCCCCCAAAGCAATTCCTGGAGTCCTGAAATGTTTCTCCTCCCCACTGCTCTAGAATGCCCCAGCTGTTCTCGTGTTGCCGAAGCTGATCATCTCTTCCTGGGTGACTGCACTGGATTCCTAATGAGTCTCTGTCCCTGCTAGGTTTCCGCACTGGGCCCTATTATTGTTTTAAATAATGCCAACTAGCAGACAGTTCTCTAAGAAAAACTAAGGTTTGTTTTTACTTCAGATCTTGGGGAGAGGTGCACATGGTGGGCATGCTGCCTCCTTTGTGACTGTGCACCTTATGTTTGTATCACAGTGCCTGGCCCAGGGGCAAACAGGCACTGACACCAAGCCCACACTGTGGCAGGGTCAGCATCCACTGAAGCCGCAGGAGTAGAAAGACAAGAAAACAGGAATTCATACTGTTCAATGTCTGCTTCCAACTTCCTCTGAGGAGGACTTCCCTGTGCCACCTGGCTCCAACGAATTGCGCAGCTGTGTAATAACTGTTGGGATGTGTGTTTCTCTCCAAGTCAGACTCCGTTTACCAAGCATCAGGGCTCTGTGCCCTGGCTCCAAGAAAGTGTACAATAATAATTACGGCACGAATGATGACTTTCAAGGGAAATTCCAGGAGAGGACAGTGCAAGCTCGGTGTCAGGACAGTTCCAGTGCACATACAGGGTGAACAGTGGAGCGGGAGGGGTGCGCAGGCTGCATTTCCTGGCACTGGCCCTAAGTGGAACCACTGTAACGTTGGGTCAAATGTAAGGATGGCGTCTGCACCAAGCACAGTGGCTACATTTCTGGATGACTACAGACCTGGACATAAAGTTCTTCGCTGAGCACACGCAGGTGCACAGATCTGACCCTTCACCAAGTGAAGGAGCTCAGGGTCTGCTAAGTCTTTATAATCTCCCAGAAAAGGGAGATCTTAGTTTTGCTATGGTTTTGAGGTCTTGAAGCAAAATTTAAATTAAAAAAAAATCTGAAAAGAAGAGCAATTGAGAGAGAGACAGAGAGAAACACTTCCATTTGCTGGTTCAGAGAGAAACACTTCCATTTGCTGGTTCCTTACCCAGATGCCTGCCAGAACCGGGATTGGGTTAAGCCAAAACCTGGAGTCTGGAACTCCATCAGGATCTTCCATGATGGGATGACAGGGTCCCAATTATTTATCACCTGCTGACACCCAGAATGTGTGCTAACAGGAAGCCAGAACCAGAGGAAACTTAATGCAAGCCTCCCATGTGGGTAGCAAGAACCCAGCTCCTGGTGCATCACGGGATGCGTTGGCAGGAGCTGGAGTTGGTACTTGGCATCATGGGCAAACCCCAACTCTGGCAGGAACCTCCCAACTTATACTGGCTTAACTGCTAGGCAAAATACCCTGTCCTGACCCAAAATTTCACTGCCATTTGCATTTTGTCACAACCTCTGACTGACTCTTATCTCTTGTATAATGTTTTGATGAAAGTTCTATTAAGCAATAAAACTGCAGCTATCAAGAAACTGGAAGGAAAGACAAAGAAAAGTCTAGAGCTCCTATAACCAAGACTTGAAAATAGTCAATCTGCAGGCTTTTTTTTTGAGCCTGCATTTTCTCCTCCGAATTCATCAGATCTTGGCAGTTCTCAAATAGAATGGATTCATTTTCTACACTTGGAGAAATCCATGCCAGGAACTTGTATCAGTGACAGGCCAATGTTAAGCAGGAAACGTCATCCTAGTGCAAAAAATGTCGTGGTATGTAAATGAAAATACACAGAGAACAGACTACACACACACACTCTCAGAGCCTGCAAAGTCAAAGCTCCACCAAGAGCCGGGAGAAATCAGCCACCGCAAAGCCACCACGGAAAGCAGCAGGAACCAGCACCGCAGGCCGGTCACTCCCTTCTCTGCACTGTGTCCTCTGCATGGTTTTTAAGACAAGGACACTGAGATCCTTATTAGACCATTTCATGATGCAGTTATCTATTTTCTTTTCAAACCTGAGCCACAAGACACCAGTTCTGAGGCCCTAATTGGTTTACTTGCAATAAAAAGCAGGTGGAGCACAACCCTTAGGCTACAATCTGTAGCTTTTTGCAGTCCCAACATTTTCCCAGGGGCTTTTCACCTAGAGCAACTGCACACCTCACACCTGGCCTGCAGCACAGGGATGGATGAAGAAGTGTAGGAAGATGATTGAGATTCGAGCTTATAGTACAGGTGGGCAGCTTCTTCAAATGCTGTTTAAACAAGGTCGGCATTCACCTACAGCAGTACCATGGGGCAAGAGAAGCGTCTGCTTCAGAAGAAAGCCCAGTGCTCTGAGAATGAGAAGAGGCGGGCCTTGATGCATTTCACCACGGGGCCAGGAGTATTTCAGAGGCACCAGGAACTGGTGTAAGACTTATTTCTCTACACCCAGGAGCAAGGTGAAGGTCGCTTCCGGTGCTTTCATTCCACCTGCATCCCTGCAGGAGCAAACACCTTTTCTACCAAGAGCTAAGGGCTGGAACCAAGGGCCACCAGTGGCATTACCCAATTGGCCTGGGAACCCTCAGTGACGTCAAGAGTCAGGCTGCCTGCCTAGGGGGCAGCCAGGTTGAGACGAGAAGGTTGTATATTAACATCACTGTGTACCCATAAAGTTTTATCTTTATTAGATTAGATAATATAAAGCACTATATGCCAGGTTGTTAAACCAATAAATAGGACTAAGGAAATTACAATCCCCATAATTACTGGGCTCGTTTTCACCACTACTCACCACTCAGAGTGATTAGATTTTCTTCTGCCCATGTTAGTTGGCTCTGGTACTACAGAAGGGGGGTGTCAGGCACGTCCCTCCCTGCAGCCCCACTCCTTTTACTCCAAAAAGCAAACGAGGGACACGCGCCAAGTGGCAGCAACCACCAGACAGGGTTCACAGAGACTTTTTAGCAACGCTCTTTTCACCTCAGCCCACGTGGAGGCCAGAAGTCTTGGTGACAAAGCCGCGCGCTAACCCAGGCTGGCAGAAGACTCACCACCCCGCCCCCCTGCTCCCCTCCGCCCCGGGGCAGGGGAGGGTCGCAGAGCCGCACCGAGGAGGCCAGCCCCGAGGCGGGGTGGCTGAGGGTCACCCCGCGCCGGGAGCGGTGACCCCACTCCCCGCGCCCGCAGCCGCCCGCCCGTGGCCGAGGGGCGGGCTGCATTCCCTCCCCGCCGCCTCCCGGAGCGGCCGGGGCGCGCGGCGGCGGGCGGGGGCGGGCGGGGAGCTGGGCTCCCTGGCCGCTTTCCAGGTCGGCGCACTAATACGGGCGATGAGGCTTCGCGGCTCCAGTCTGACTGACGCCGGCTGGGGCCGCCGCCGCCGCCGCCGCAGCCGCTGTCTCGGTCCCCGCCGCCGCCGGGCCCTGCAGCCACCGGGCGCGCGCAGCCAGCCAGTGAGTGCGCGGCGCTCGGACGGGCGGACTGGGGGACCCCGGCGGGGGCGGGGGACAGCCAGCCCCGGGGCGGGGGAGGGAGGGATGCGTGGCACGGCGGGCACAGGTAAGTGATGCCCTCCCCGGCCGCGCGCTGGGTGTGTGTGCGAGCGGGAGTGTGTGCGCGCGAGGACGGCGAAGTTTTTGCTTGCACAGGGAAGTCTTGGAGGTCCTTTGGCGTGTGGCTTGGCTCTTTGTCACCTTCATCCCTGCATTTCTCGAGGGGTGGGCTGGGGGGGGGGGAGAGTGGTGAGGGAGGCCGGGTAGCCGTTGAGTCCGGGGTAGCGCGCGGTGGGGTGGGCGAGGGCCGGAGGGGACGGCTCGGGGCATTTGGCCGCACGGCTGGTCCGAGTGGCGCGCAAGCTCCGCGCCTACTGCCTCTGCAGCCGCCAGAACCTGGGAGCTTTCGGGGAATGCTTGCTGGGCGACTGCTGGGCTGGGGACAGGTCCGGGGCTCTGGCCCCCAGGCATCTGCGAGGATGTGCGCTGGCCTGGGCGCCGAGCGGGGGCCGAGTGTGGCGGAGCCATGCTGCTGAGACCTCTCTTTTCCCCCTGTGTGGGGCCCAGCCCCCCCAACCCCTGGTTTGTTGGGGATGGAAAGCGGGGACAGGGATGAAGCGGGTCGTGCTGGGGGGTGGTCAGGTGGGGTGAGGTGTAGTCATTGTGATTCTTTGGGAACGACGCGTCCAATCGGCAGAGCCTGGGTGGTTCCGGCGGGGGGGTGGGCTTCAGTTTCATAGACTTTTGATTTTGCTTACCTTTAAGGCACGCGAGAGGAGAGGACAAAAGTTAGGGGTGTCATGAAAGCGTTGGCTAGCGCTGGGATTGCGCTGGGAGGGTTGTCTTGCCTTGCGCCTGCCATTCGGGGCCGGCTCCGCGCCGAGGGGAGGGGGCGCGGTGGGGAACAGATGCAGGAGACGAGCTGACGCCAGCCTGGTGATGGGAAGAACATTTTTATGGATGGCTGGTCGCCGGACGAGTCTTCCCGTTAGGATTGCTTCCTCCTCCTCCCGGCCCTGACCCTGGAAATTGGAAATGAGAGTCGGGAATGACTCCTTTGACTGGTTTTGGGGTTGGGGCTTGGTACTCCCGAGAAAGAACCTACCGTGAACAGAGATCGAGTTTTGGAATAACATACGTCAGTTCCTGGCCCAGTTCACAGCCGTGTGCGCCCAAAAGACCCAGTGGCTGTAGTTGTTGAAGGACCATTTCGGAGGCTTGTTCTAGTAAGAGCGGTGGGCGCTGAGTGTGAAGTCCTAAGGCGTTGGGGGCACTTGCGCGTCTGCCAGCGCGAGTGAGTGAAATGTGACTAGAATGGTGCAGGCGTGTCTCCTGCTTCAGGACTCAGAATCCCAGTCCTGAGTGAGGCAATGCCGCTGGGTGTTTACATTTAAAAAATACTGATCTATATTTAAAACCCCAACACACTCTGAATTCCAAACACAAGGATCCAGTAAATGAGTTTTCCTATGCTTGTTGGAAACCGTGACCGTAATGTTGGACCCGTGTCAAATTTGTGGTTATCCAAGGACACTGCAGATAAGAAAGTGATGCGATCGTTTATATAAATAAGGAACTTTGGAAGCGCGATAGAATGACAAGTTTCAAATGAAAGAGTAGAAAAGCAACATTTAATGGCAATATTCACCATTACGTCTTGAACCCGGCAGCGTTCAGCCCGCTAATGTATTCTGACACAACCACCTCGCATTTGTAAGCTTGACTGGCTATCTTTGCCCAGTCGTGTTACGCTTTGAGCTCTGTGGTTGCAAGCTGTGCTTAAGGGAATGCCAACATACTCTTCAGCAGAGCAAACCCAGAATTTACCAAAAAATTAAAGCCATGAACAACTGAAGATTACTCCTTATGTATTTTACCATTGTCAAATGTTTGTCATCTGTCTTTCAAAGTCATCATAAACTGTCTGGCTTGTTTTTCTTTAAGCCATCTTTTACTTAAACAGGCACAGTTAATGTGTAATGAGAAAACATGCACAGGTGTCACCCATTCCCGCATGTGTGGCTTTCCGAGACTTCAGAAAGTTTTTTTTCTTTAATGAAATGTTAGTAAAAATATCTGTAAGTAATAAGTAACCTGGGAAATTTGTTTATCCCTTCAATCAGCTGAAAGGCGAATAGTTTGTCAAGAAATTATTTCACAAAGATGAAAATATCCAGTTTCAGTGTTGCAAAAAATTTAATCCTGATTCACTAGTTTGCACTATTCTTCACCAAACTGAGGAGATAGTATTTCATCAGTGGTCACCATAACATTAATGCAGCAAAGTAGTTTGTATCTGTCATTCCCTCTGTAGTCCATGAAGCAGCAGTTTCATTGGAGTCTGCTTTAATTTGTTGGAAATAAATACTTTTCCGATGCTTTGATTTAAAAGAAGGTAAAGGGCTTTTTTTACATTTGCAAAACACACTGCATCACATTTTCCTGCTTTTTGAAAAGATGTATCTATTTTCTTGGATGGCACTGGGCCAGGTCCAAGCCAAAACTCAGTGAGCGCAGGGGCCCAAGCACTCGGGCCATCGTCGACTGGTTTCCCAGGTTCATTAGCAGAGAGCTGCATTGGAAGTGAAGCAGCACCCACAGCGGATGCCACAGCCATAGGCAGTGGCTTTCCCTGCTTGGCCACATGGTCGGCCCCACTGCATTAAATTTTAAAACTTCAATGAAGCGCTCTTGGTGCAGACTTTCTGTTTATTGCTGTTAATCGGAGAGGAATTCGGAAAGAAGACAATGTCCAAAATAAAACAATAAATATAACAGGACACTGAAAGTATGAATCTCTTCAAATAGTTGTAATCCTAGGCTGTTGAACTTCTACTTCCTTGGTTACTGTTGCTACTCAATTGAAAACTTACTCTAAGGCAAAAAAAAAGCGAATAGTAAAATCAGAAGACTTTCAATATGAGCGCTTTGGTGATGCTCTGTGTTATCTTGAGGAAGATCTATATCTCCAGTAGGGCATAACAAAAAATAAACAAATAGCCACTGACAGTAAACTAACCCCCCAAAATTATTTATTTAAAAGAGTTACAGAAAAAGAGAGAAATCTTCTGTCCACTTCTTTATTTCTTGCAGTTAACTGCAGAGATTGGTGCTGAATTGGACCAAAGCCTGGAGCCAGGAGCTTCCTCCAGGTCTCCCATGTGGGTGATAAGGCTCCAAACACTTGGACCATCTCCTGCTGCTCTGACATTGAGGTACATTTAGCAGGGAGCTAGATTGGAAGCAGGGCAGCTGGGTTCCCAAGTAACGCCCATATAAGGCGCTGGCTGAACTTGTGTCATGATACTAGCTTTGATAAATTGACCTTTCACAATGAATATCCCTGTACATGATGCATCTTAAGAAATGTGTATCAACTAAAGTTATTAAGATTCCAAGACATTTGTTAACACTAGAAGTCATCGACCACGAGTCTGACACGGTGGCTTATCAGGCTAATCCTCTGCATGTGGTGCTATCATCCCCCATGGATGCCTGTTGATGCTCTGCTCCACTTCCACTCCAGTTCCCTGCTTATACAGCAGGAAAGCAGCAGAGAATGGCTCAAGTCTCTGCACCCACGTGCCAGACCCAGAGGATGTTCCTGGTCCCTGTGCTTGAATCCGCTCAGTTCTAACTATTGTGGCCAAATGGAAGAGTGGTCTCTCTCTCTCTCTCTCTGCTTCTTTTCTGTAAATCTGCCTTTCCAAATAAAAATATATAAATATTTCAACAAAAAAGTCATCAATTCCAGGAAAACCATTTGTCATGCCTGGTGACTTGCATCCTGACACCACCCACCCCAGAACCATGCTGCACCCATGGCCATACCTGCGTGCCTTGATTTGTCCTCTAGTGTCTGCCTCAGGCTGCCTCCAGACCATTTTTCCAGATCACAGTCCCCACCCTGTCCTATTGTATCCTGCTGTCAGAAGAGTGAATTACAATTTCCTAGCGTGAGTAGTCTTCCTCCCCTGTACACCTTTATTCACACGTAGCCTAGAATGCCTTCCCCTGAGTCCTCACTTTCCACCAAATCCCTAAACCTGTCAGGCACTTTCTCCTTTTTTATGTTCTGATGGAGTGCCACCTTCATGATGCGTGCCGTGATGACCCTGGTCCCAGGTGTGTCCTCCTTGGGGTGTGTGTGGCTCTGTGTTTCCCACTTTTGCCATTGCTTGTTAGATCCTCATTGGTGTCTTGCCCTGAGATGACACTTACAAGGTCTGTGTTGGACCAAGTCATGTTTCTCCACCTTTTTCATTCCCTTAGTGTTGGGCACAGTGCCCGCCCAGGTCCTCAGTCAGTAAACACCAATTCAGTGGTATGTGTTTTCACGAACCCCTGAACCTTCCTGCAAGTGAAATCTCTAAAAGCATTTCACCTGTAGACTCAGTCTTATATGTGCATCTGTGCAACAGGCAGGTGTTGAACTTGGGCTGAACTTGTTAAAGAGTCTGTGAGAGCAAGCCCTGAAGTCACCCCTTCCCAGCTGAGCCTTCCCCCTCAGTATTGTGGCTGAGCATTACAGTTAGAGAGCCTCTATGATACTCTTACTGCATTAGCAATTTTCCATATCAGATTTGCTAAATACACAATGGAAGCCATTTAGCAAAGAAACAGATTTTAATGTGATATGGCTCCCATAATAAGACTCTAATGTGATTCTACAGCAAATTGCTAACACGATATGTTCGTTCCCCCTGCCCCTCCTGTTAGTAACCATATAAAAATTGCTAGTGTTTTTCATGTATTCATTTCAAGCTCTGGCTCGAAATAGGACAAGCAGATGGCTCCTGAGATGAGCTTCTGCATTGTTCGGGTCGGATGGGAAGGTCCCCAGCAGCAGCCTTGTGGGAGAGCTCCGTCTCCTGCCACGCCTCGCTTGTCACGGCACCGAACAGTGTGCTAAATCCCATCCCCACCCGAACTCCTGTTTAATGATTCAGCGTTAATGCGGCCGATACAGGAATGCACAAAATACAATCTGTGTGTAAATACCGTGACTGTGGAACACATTCACTCGAACAACGTTCTTTGGGAACCTCTAGTCAACTCTAAACCAGTGTTTCAAGAATCAATTTTGTATGCAAATCTTGAAATGAAATGCAGGCAGCGGGCCTTGTGGCGCAGCAGCAGCTAACTGCTGGGAAGGTCTGCATGGTGTACCAGTGGCTGGCTGGCCCGTTGGTGCTCCCACCGAGTGGCTTCCTGCCTCTGCACCCTCTAGAAGGCAGCAGACCATGGCTCAGACATGGGGTCCGCCACCCACTGGGACAGACCCGGCTGCTGTGGGCCTTTGGACAGTGAACAAGTAGAGGGAAAAATTTTTTTTCTCTCACCGTCAGTCGTTCTGTCTCCTGAATAAAGTTAAAAAAAATAAGAGCTTAAAAAATAAAAAGAAATACGAGATAATTCAAAGAGTCGAGGAAAATGGAATTAACAAAACAGGTTTATTTTGCCACAAAAAAAAAAAAAACACTTGAAATTCATGCGTATGTGGAAGCTTCTTTATGGAGAATGCCCATTATGAAAAACTGTGGATGGATTTCAGGTTTTTGCAGCAAAAAAAAAAAGTGTTGTGACTCCATTTCCGTGAACTTGTTGAAGTTCCCTCATACATGAATATTAGAAAATGGATTGTAAATGCTCGAGTTTTTGCTTCATGCTCCAGCCCATATTTAATTCAAACAAAAGGTTTAAACCCACCAAGTCAGTGTGAAGCCCTAAGTTTTCCTGGAGTGTAATGTAATGGACTCCCATGTCAAGCCCTGAGCTCTCCTATAGCGGCCCCCCGTCTTTGGGTGTGCAGTTGATGTCACTGACAGAGGTTATTTTTATAAGGATGTCCTCTGGGAGAAATGTGATATTTACTGCCTCATCATTTCCTTTGCATGTTTTTTGAATCTTATTTGGAGGGGCTTTAAATAGGAAACATATATTCCTCTGTCATGAAATGGGTTTACTGTGTGGCTGTGAAAAGCAGTAAAAGCCTTTGGCCTATAAGCACTGGCATTGCCAGGGGTGCCTGTTCATTCTAGGACTCCAGGTCGTAGTCTCTCATCGTTAGACAAAGGAGCCTGATAGTGCAGGCGTGCCTTGGGGGCCACCCAGATGTGCTGGGGCCTTTGGAACTTCCTAGAAGGGTCGAGGGGGAAGGGGTAAGGGAGGAGGGTGTCAGCTCAATGGCTCAGTTGGTTAATCCTTCATGTGCAAGCGGCAGCCTGCCATGTGGATGCTGGTTTGTATCCCAGCTGCTCCACTTCCAATCCAGCTTTCTGATTGCTGTCT